GGCTTGTGTAGCCTATTATTGAATATTAAGGCTAAATCAATTCATTAATATTTATCTCAAATAAAATATTGTGTGTAATCATGAAATAGGTGAACATTTCTGGCAATCCATACAAATGAAGTTGTATTCATTGCACTTGAAGGCCTTCAGACAAAGGCCTCTTGTCCTGTCTTTAGAGGAGTTCAGGATTGTTTATTTCAGCAGGTGATGAAACAGGAGAAGGGATGTTGCGACAGAATAAACCTGGTCCCTGCCCTGTGAACAGGCCATGTCAGGTGAGGACTGAGGTGCTGCTGAACAGCGCCAGAGTGCAGTAAACAGGTTTTGGCTCTGCACAGCTCCCCTGCACCATCATTAAGCATCATTTATTATTAACAGCCCACTCTGGGGCTGTGTGCCTAATTGTGGCCCCTTGTTTTGTCTCTTTCTTTGTGGAGGTGTGCTGTAATGTATTGGGCTGGATGTCACAGGCCTCAGTCAGGATTCAGTGACAGAGGAAGCCAGGCTTTGAGCTCTGAGCAGGTAAACTGAGTATAATAGCTGCAAAAAGGAAAAGGCAAACCTCACTCAATCCTTATGTAACCGGGGGTACTGGTCTAGACTATGCCACCTTGGGAATTGCGCCCAAGGAAATAGTTATCACAGCTGTTTATTCCCCACTCAGGTCCCCTTAATTGAATAAAGCCAGCAGAGGTGTGGATTCAAAGATTTAAAACTTGGTTTATTATAAAAAACAAGACAATCCATAAAATAAAAATAAAAATAGAAAAGGCAGTGGCAATAGGTTCTCCAGGACCGCTGGAGGCGCCACTGCCTGTGTGCGGGTAGGAGCCGACCGCTGGGAGGGGTACTCATGACACCGGAAGTGGAAGTGACACCGCAGACACTCGTGATGCAGAGACAAGCACACAAAGGAGTTCAACTGCAGGACGAGTTCCAAAAAAAGTGAAATTAGCCACGCACCGAATACCCTACACCCACACCGTGTTTGTGTTAAAGACTACCACCTCCGATATGCCGCTACCGCGTCCTCCCCGCAAGTACAAACCCAAGCCACGCACGAGTAAAAGTGTCAAACAAACCCAAATGACCAGAACAGTAAAATCAATTAAAAACCCGTTTAAAACAGCTAACCACAGTTGGTTTGTCAGGCTAAAACAATTCAGTTAACAAAAGCTCACAAAATTCACACGGGGCGCGCGAGAGAAAAGTAAACACCCGAAGGGCAGATCGCGCTGAATATAGCTAGCTAGCAGGCTAGTTACTGCAACAGCTCGATCCGCAGTACATACACACCGGGACACTAACACAAGGGAATTAAAGACGTAGGCTACCCCGTGCGATGTAAAGTAACGTGAGTTACACAATAAAACGAATTTAAAACAATAAAAACAAAACGGCAAAACAGCAGCCAGCGATGTCCTTCATTCACCACAAAGGAGGATACTACTAGCCGGGGAGCACCGCTCAGTCTATGGCCACCTATAAAACAGACAGCCGTCAGATCTGCACCCAGTGGAAGCAGCATACATGTTCACAGGTTAAAACCTACCTCCAAGACAACAAGGAAGTTACGCATCGCAGGAACAGCGAAAGGTTTTGTTTTCCTTGTTACCCCCATACGGTGTATTTATAGCCGCTCGCATTGACTGATTTGCGTGGTGGCAAGCCGGGTAACAGCTATGTTGTCAGCCCTGCCTAGCATGCTAGCTATCTTGTGTGTGCCAGCGCATAGAATGTATTAGCAATCCTGCTACAGTCACCATTATATGGGTAATCCAACTCCCATATTTTATAGGTAACGTACGGCAAACAAAAATATGGAAGAGCCAAAAACTTTTTCCACAAGTTCTGAGGACATTGTAACTTCCTCTGACTCAGCTAGTCTTTAGGCCCCTTTTTTAGTTAATCCATAATCTGCAGAATAGTTTTCCATCAAGCTACACTGCATAAATGACAAAATGTATCATTTCTCTTTAAAATTTGAAGAGGAGGGTCTGGATCAACAGCTTGATACCTCAGCCGTAAAGGCATCATTTCTCTGATTTTCACAGAGCTCTGAAAAGTAAGCAAATAAAATTTGTTCTAACATAACACATGAGGAAATTATGCATTTTAATGTGAAAATAGGTTGCATCTATATTTGTTCCCTCTACATGCTGAAGAACAGTGTCCTTAACAGCAGCTCTGTACCCTAGCAAGATTGCACATTTTTACTAATTTACAGAGAATAACAGCAAATGAATTATGGAGAAGGTTGAAGGAGAACAGGCAAATAGACTGTAAGACTGTCTTGAATAATCTAAAGGTGCCTGCTTCTACTATAAATTGCAACAATCTATTACATCCATTTATGACTCTCTGAGCGATCAAACCTGGTGTTTGAGCTGCAGTTTCACATTGAATAGAATGGTTAAATATGGTCAGTTTGAAAAAATCTAATTTACAACTGTGTTTCATTCTGAACTACTTCAAAGGCTCACTAGATTCCAATTTGCCTGAGGAAGTTGAGTATTAAGTTATGAAACAGTGAACACTTTTGAGTTTATCAGACAGGAAATACATGTATATTAAAAGTCCTCACAGACTAATTAACTGCTCCCTGAAGTACAGCAAGAACAGCTGCTAGAATCAAAGTATCAAAGGGATTTCATTAGGATATGTAGCAATATTGTAATGGGTGAACAGAATCTTGTGTGTTTTAGCGGGGATCCCATCTAAATGTACGACATTCATGCATGAGAAAAATCTTTCAATAGTGTATTTCCAATAGTACATTTCCTAAGCTTTTCTGTCTCCAAGTTCAAAGCTGAGCATCTAAATATATGCTTCTAATACTACTGAGTGCCATAATTTCTAATATGAACCCCCGCAGGGTATTCTTCAAATTAAATATTGAACCTTATAGTAATGACATTACAAAGGTCACATCTTCTCCACTTTCTTTTCTTCCTTGAATATTGTCATGTGTACATTTATTTATTTTTTACAATTTATCTGGATTTAGTGTCCATTATTTGAGAACCAGTCTTATGGACTATTGATCTTTGAGGGTGTGAAACCACAAGTGTAGAAAAAGGCCATGAAATTGGCAATGTTGTTCAAAGTGGATCTTCTTGTGTGACACACACTGTACGCAAGGCTGCGTTAACCTATTGGGCAACATGGGCTGCAGCCCAGGGCCCCGGCCACTAGGGGGCCCTGGGAGCAGCAGATTACATTGAATTTTTGAATGGGGTTTTATGGTGTTTTGATTGTATACTGAACATTTTGGTGCAGTTTTCCACCTGTAGAGTAGCCTACATTGTCATGTCGCAACAATTAATTGTCAGTGTCAGTGAGAGTGGTGTTTGTAGGCTAGTCACTTCACAGTGATGTCTCACGAGGCTATTAGAAAATGATAGTGGTGCTAAAAAGAGAAAACAAGCTCAACAAAAAAAGGAGAGAAATGAAGAAACTCTCAGCAAAATACCCAAGATTACATCCCTCTTCAAAAAGAATTTAGATGATCCCCAGGACCACGATAGTACTCCCAACATGGGGTCCGGCACAACCTTGTCACCTGCCTCCCCAGAATCGGTGCTCGAAGACGCACGTGAGCCTATCTTGCCATCATCGAGTGCCTCCATTGATACTGATGCTTTAGCTGACACCGACTCATCTTCAAAGGTAACCCCCTCAAATGAAGAGGCTTTGCCAGCCACTGACGTTGCATGTTGGGGTCCTACTGTTTTGAGCATTGTCATGTGTGGTCAAATTTCTGGTTTGTACTTTGTACACTAGGCTACTACTCCCTTTCATTTGTTATCCTATTCTGCCATCTACTGGGCAAGGTTTGTCATGCGTTTGGGTAACACGACGTGAATATTTCGAGAGCGCTATAATATAAGAGTCGGTACTCTTTGACAGCTTTTGATACATTACAACATTCAAAGTTTTCAATTGGAGGTCTCATTCTGTAGCATATTCGGTCTCTTCTTCTGATATCCTTTGTCATAGGCCTATTTGTCGAATTTGCAGCGTGTCTTTATCGTTGATCTTTGGTTACGTCAATGTACTTTTAGTTTTCCGGTTAAAAATTGTGGGCATAGGGCCCCGGGAGGTGTGTTAGCCCTGGGCCCCGGGGAGGCTTAATGCGGCCCTGACTGTACGTAGTATCAAAATATTTTTAATGCTGAACTGTAACAGTACAATTTCAAATTCAAAATCTCTGCTATACAAAAAGTACAAATTCATTTTGGACAATCATCACAAAATTCAAATAGGCCTATTGTTTAAGAAAGCACATAGTTGGGAGATGGGGTTCTCTCCAGAACAGAAAAATGAGATTACAACAACAGAAGGTGTGTAAAAGATAAAATATCAGTGTGAAACAGTCTTGACAGATCTAGTGGGTCATTGCTAGACAGGTAGCTTGTTACATTAGCTAGTTAGGTCGCTACTATAGCTAGTTCCATGGCTAACAGTGCAAAGGGTAGACAGCTAATTTAACTATCATATTACTCATTTGGTAAGGCATGTCTGCATGTGAATTTTAAATTAAAAATATGTCTTTTGTGGTATTGCCTATGGAAAGGGTTAAATACAATCATACTGAAGCAACTGGCCTCCAAAGTATTTCAAGTTTCTTAATTAGCCAAGCAATGACTACAGATCCAAACTGAGGTTGCTTGGTTGGCAAGGCATCTGCATTATAACAGCGCTGAATGCCTTCCAGCTGTTCAGTTATTTTTACGAATGGCAAAACTGTGAGGTTTAAAAAATGTATTACTCAAAATGTACAAAGTTTATTTATAAACTAATATAAAGCAATCCATGCTGGATATGGGGAGCCATCTTAGGGGTTGTTGGTGTGTAATGTTTTACATTTATTCATTTGGCAGATGCTTTTATCCAAAGCGACTTACATAGGTTACAGTTCTTTTACAATGATATCCATTTATACAGCTGGATATTTTACTGAGGCAATTGTGGGTTAAGTATCTTGCCCAAGGGTACAGCAGCAGTGTCCCAGCAGGGATTGAACCAGCAACCTTTCGGTTACGAGTCCTGCTCCTTAACCACTATGCTACACTGCCGCCCGTTTTAAGAGAAATATGACAGAAAGATTGTCAGTGTTAACATTTGTCATGTGCAAATAAAGATCCCAAAAGATTTTGGCAATCTTGACATACTTCACATGAAAAAGAAGAAGTGGTTAAACACAATTTCTATGTTTTGAATTGTGTTGTTTAGCATGAGAACAATGTTATATTTTTGAATGGCTATGAGGCAGAGTTCTGTGAATCATGAATAATCATATTTCACATGTTAAGTGTAATATTGTGGCAGGAGTGTATGAAGGAATGGTTGGAGCCTTGGATTGTTGACCTCAGAGTTACTGATGAGACTACTGCCTGGGGATTTTCCATTTTGCCACTGTGAAATATAATGTTTTTCAGTTGCTTCAGTACAGATTTGTTGGTACGAGTGGGTTAGAGAATGTGTAATGGGAACCATTATAGATGTCCGTGGATAGGGCTTTCTGTGCTGCAAATCAGGCATACACATCATTTCAGTCTGTTTTTTTATTATTATTTTTAGTGTAAAGTCACAGTAGGCTTGACATCGCCAGGCCTACATCTGAAGTAGCTCAGGAAGAGGGGCCGGAAAGTATCATCTCTCAGGCCATAAATCAGGGGACTCAGGCATCGGGGGAGGATGAGGAGGGTGAAAAAGTTCAAAAATCGCAGGCGGAAAAACAAAGTCATATCAACCATGGCCAACATACGTTCAAAGATGCTGTACAGAAAAGAGATGAGACACAGCCCGAGCTGAATCAGGTGGAGCAGTACAGTCTTGCGGGCCTTCTTAGCTGAATCCTTGTTTGTGGAGATGGACCTGGCTGTCACCATAATACCGATGTATGTAAAGACAATAATTACAGTCACAGCAACAAAATATAGACAGTTAAAAGCCTGGAATGAGTCCACTTGCCACTTGGCAATAAATAGCCGCTCCCGTGTGCAGAACACAGGTGTGCTGAAAGAATGAGGATGTATCACAACAGTGTAGAACATATCAATTGAGAAGTTTAAGGTGCCAAGAAACCAGATTGCCCCAATGGCAATGCCTGTCCTTCTCTGAGTGGCGATCTCTGCGTGCCGCAGGGGGAAGCAGATAGCCACGTAACGCTCCAGTGACATCACTGCAAGGATCAGTGGAGTGTTGGTGTATGTGATGATGGAAAACAACATCACCAGGGCGCATATAGCCTTAACCAGGTGGAGGTATGCCAGGGCGAATGAGTACAGGACGGTGTTGCTCAACAGATGAACAGAATCATTGAAGAGCATGTTGGCAAAGAGGATGTAGCGGGACGTCTCCCTGAAGACGGGTTTGCTCCTTAAAGTGGCAAACATGAGGCTGTTCACATAGACAAAGAATAGGGACGTGGACAGCAGCACAACTGTTGCTCCCACGATCGTCTCATTCGGGTCTATGATGAAGGCTTGCTGGTGTACGAATATAAGCTCTTCAGAGGAAACATTGCTGTCCTCCATAGATCACTTTGTCAGTTAAAGTAAAAATAAGCCTAAATGGTTAGGACAACTTATCAGTTTGATTTACTGAAATACAACAAACAGCACATTCTCAAATGTAAAACATAAGCAATACATTGCAAATTATCATTGCAGACATGCTACAACAATAAGAAGTTTTATGACAGCTGGATATAACAAAAGATATTAAAAAGCATAAAAAAGGGAAAGAAACAAACCATTAAGAGCCCTTTGTAAGAGGGAAACTGGAAATACCTTTTGAATCCTTGAGATGTTGCAGCATCAATGACTGCACATGCTGGTGTGCACATGACCTTTGTGTCTAATTTATATGAAGGATGAAATGCCAGTGACATCACACAGTCATCACCAGGGTGCACAGAATGACACACCTCTGCAATCCTCCTGAGCAGGGGTGTGTTTGTTGTATGTCTGACAGATAAATGATTAATGACCCACATAGCCATGTGCAGAGTTACTGGTAGATAAGATGGATGAAATGTTTATAGAGCGCATAGTGTTTTGCCATTGGTTGTGTGAGTGTGGAGGTGGGGGGCAGGGGTTACTGTAGCCTGAAGTGTCCGTAAAGTTATGGTGAAAATAAATTGGGCCTATACACAATGTCCAAACATTCCCTGATATGGCAGCCAGAGCAGCACTGAAGATTGTGTTTTTACTAAGAGGACGGTTGAAAGGAACAGTTACTCCTGAGTAACAGATTGAGTGGGAGCCTCAGATTTCACATCATTGACACAATTATTGAAAAGTGGCCATTAGCTAGAAACTCATTACAACCCCAAGATACAAGGAAAGCTGTGGTGAACACACCTGGTGTGAAGGCCAATCAGACAGAGGTCAGAGCTGCTCCTCTCCTTTCCTCTGGTCAGCCTGAGGAACGGTGAGGGAGGGCGCTAGAATCACTGGCAGCAGTGTATGGCAGTGGTCTGGGCAGTAGTGTGGAGAAGTGGACAGGTCAGTAGTGCAGAGCAATTGTCAGGGGCAAGGCTTTGACTGTCACCTGATGAGACATACTGACTTGGGTAAATTCTTAACAGGCTACACATAAATGGGGCAGAGGTTTGACTCTCTTGCTTCATTAACATTCTAGAGTGGAGAGCATTCAGGCCAGAAATACCTGGACCTAAGTCTGGACAGCCCAGCAGAATTTAGCTTAAATGGCTTCTGAAAAGTGTTTAAGGGTGGCTCAATACATGTGTGTGTTTTAAACAGATAAATTTAAAAAGTTGTGTAAAAAATTGTTTAAAGCCAGTTCTTGCTTTAAAAAGTTCTAGATTAAAAAAAAGAAAGGGCAAAGTGACTGATTTAGAGTTCAGCTAATCAAGGCCTCAGAAAGAGTATGCAGGTGTGAGATGCCCAGGTGTGAAGTCACTCTCTGTGGTGTCTTTGCAGCCATCACTGGCAGCAGAGTGGAGCAGTGCTCAAGGCAGGAGGTTGGAGAAGTGGTCAGGGCGGCAGTGTGGAGCAGTGGCAACAGCTTTTGAAAAATTGTTCCCGTCTACAGTCAGCTAAAGTAAGGGCCACCCAATACAATGATAAACTGGGTAAAAGAGACTCAGAGTTTTGGGTTTGAACTACATGTTTGCACTGACACCACATGATGTCTTTGCAGCCGTCAGGGTGGAGCAGTGGTCAAGGCAGTAGTTTGGAGAAGCGGTCAGGGTTCAGCTGATCGAGGTCTCAGTCAAGAGTATCCAGGTGTGAGATGCCCAGGTGCGAATAAACTCTCTGTGGTGTCTGCAGAATGAAAGTTCCATTTCAGTATGTGCCTTTAATCTGCTGATTCTGGTGCCCTGTCCAGCCTGTCTTTGGCTGGAATATTTCACATGTAAGCTTGGAAAATGTACACACTCACAATATGAGGCATTTTTATGGAAGAAAATAAACTGACTTATTATTTTTTGTTTTTTTTTTCTGTACATTTCAAAATATGTTACAAAAAAAACCTCATCAGACTGACATTCAAGAATATCACAATTATAGTAATAAATCACAGAAATTCTGAAATGGGCAAATTACATTTTCTGAAATTCCCCTTCAGACCTATTGGCTTACCTAAAGCCATTTATTTATTCATTTAAACAATAATTGCAATTACTGTAATTGGGTAATTAAATGTCCAAATGAAAAAAATAGTTTCCAGGCCAGAGCCGTGCATGTCTGTGTTAAGTCAAACAAGGTTTTGTTTCCCTCCACTGTATTTCATGGCTTAGAAAAATTTAACTTTAATTACGTTCATTTCCCTCAGATTGCTGGGCATCCTATTAACCTTAATTTTGAATATTAGTGAATGTTTGGTCCGTATAAAGTCCATAGAAAGTCCATATAAATCAGTGACAGTCTTGCTAAAACATAAAAGCAATTGCTCTTGTCAAACCACAAGAGGAGTGCACTGTTGTGTTTCAGCAGGTGATGAAACAGGAGAAAGGGATATTATGGAATAATAAATCTGGCTCCTGCTCTGTACATAAGGTGGGATGTTTGAGGAGGGAGGTGCTGCTGAAGAGCTCCAGAGTGCAGTTAATATGTTTTGACTCTGCACAACTCCCCTGCTACATCATTAACTGTCATTAATTTTTAAGAGCCCACTCCAGGGCTGTGGGCCTAATTATGCACCCTTGTTTGTTCCCCTGATTCCCTGCGGAGGTGTGTTGCTGTGTGTTTGGCTGGATGTTGAGGTTCACAATTCAGTGGCAGAGGCAGCCTGGTTTTGAACTCTGAACAGGTCAACTGAGTGTGATAGCTGTGCAAAGGTGCAGACAATTCTCACACATAAAGTTTTTAGGACATTGTAACTTTCTCTAACTGGTCTTTAGGCCCTTTCCTTAGTTGATTTAAATCCATAATCTGCAGAACAGCTTCATATCAATGTACACAGCATAAATTAAAAATCTGTCAGTTATCTTTAAAATTTGAATAGGAGGATCTGGATCAACAGCTCAATACCCTATCTGTAAAGTCATCATTTCCCTAATTTACCAGAGCTCTAAAAAGTAAGCAAATGAAATTTGTTCTAAAGTAAAAAGATGAAGAATGAATTATGCATTCTAATGTTAAAATAGATTGTATCTACATGTGTTTTCTGTACACATTGAAGAAAAGGGTCTTTAACAACACCTCTGTACCCCAGCAAGATTCTCCTCTTCTTAGGCTGCTCCTTCAATCTAGTCCTAGGCTTTGGCCCTCTCCCCACACAGGGCCATGATTCTTTTACTGCAACACTTTTTCTACTCTATCCTATCACTGCAGGTTGTGACAGAGGGATAGAAATGGGTGGGTTTCAGTCATTCAGTAGTTCCAAAAATGTAATGGCAGTACTTTTTTACTCTCACTAAAGTTTCCAGGATGAAAACTTTTAATAAAACTAAAATGCTTCTGCTTGAGTACAGTTTCCCAGTATACTTTTGCCACAAAGCTAACCTTGTGAACGTTTGCTCGTTGTCATGGTTATGTCTCAGTGTTCAGGTTCCATGAAGGAGAGTCCTCCCACTACAGTCTGATATGATCATTTATTGTGA